TTTTGGTCAGGTCGCAGTGTTTTTTGTTTTGTTTTTTAATTAAATAAGATACGTTGTTTGACAATGTATGAAACGATCTTGAGAGATCGATTTAACTTTTCCTTATCATCGAAAATCATTTTATTTTTTTTTTACGATTTCCTACATCGATTACTTTTATTTCGATGCGAATCGATTTTTTTTATTTTAATCTGGCATCTCTAGCACGCAGTGTTATATAAATAGATATAAATATTTCTTGCTTTTGGTTTATTTTAAAATTTTGATTTTGTACGAAAACAAACTCCGACTCTCTAGCACTGAAGAGATTTCATAACAAGCTAAAAATTACAGATGTACTAAGTATGTGTATGTGGTTATATGCTGCCACGCTTTCAAAATGCTAAGCAGAAATAAATACCTTTGTAGGAGGAACAGCTGCCTGCACAATCCATGCGAATGGGTGTTGTTGCACTCAATTTACACCCAAAGTGACTTGCAAAGGCTTACATAAGAGTCCCTGTAACATACATACATATGTACTTGCATAAGTACCTAAATGTGTGCAATGTACATATGTACATTAGACCGTACCAGCTAATAAGCAAAAACAAAAGCTCGCCGTACATCGTTGAGTCTAAATTTTTTTTTCGTTGCTGACATCTACAATCGGCAATAAATATTTTGTTTAAAATAGTTCTACTGAAATAATCAATATAATTTCTTAGCAAATGTTTAATGATTTTTGGCGAGCTTTGATTTACTGGCATTTGGTGGATAAGTAATAGAAACGGCTATTTTAAGTCAATGAATTTTGCAACAACAAAATTTCTTCACGAGAAATGAACACCTGCACATCAAACTTTAAAATCCGATTGTAAATGCCAAAGATACGACGAAATATGGAAAAAAGGCGACCATAAATTCGGCAAAAAAAAAACATTTTTCTCCGAAATACAAAAATTCTTTAAACTCAGGTACGGTCTAATGTACATAAATGTGTGCTATGTATGTACTCTAGGGTGGTGCTTAAATGTAGGGAGCAAATGTTAACATCAGATTTCCTAAGCCTCAGCCCCTACGTCGAAGATATCACATATAAATTTTGGTCCCGAATGAAGTCGGTTAAGGCATGTCGCATAGGGGCCAAAGTTCAGATTACCCTATGACGACGTCTTAACCGACTTCAATCGGAACTAAAATTTATATGTGATATCCTCGACTTTAGTAGTATCGATTTTGGGCAATAAATGAAAAAACATATTTTTAAGTTTTTGAGTACTTAGAGGCATTGGTCTTCGACCCCTTTGCGACACACCTTAATCGACTCCAATCGATGATATCTTCGATGAAAAAAAAATTGATTTTATTTTTTTGAGTCTCTTTGCCCCCTCTGCGACACGCCTTAACCGTATCCAATCGAGAGCAAAATTTATACTATGTGATATCTAATGACAGTGGTGTTACCGATTGAAGCGGTGAGATCCTAAAAAAATCTTTCATTCGATTTATTAAGAAACACCCTAATGTGCTTGCATGTAGATAAGAATAAATAAATATTTTTGCATGCAAGTCAAATCAAATAATATCATTTGCATCGTTGCTTTACGGTCTCCATTGACTGAAAAGTAAATATCACAAAATAAATAAATGAATTGGAAAATATTTGCAAAAGTGCAAAATTCTAACAAGAATTTACAAATAAAAAGCTGTTATAACAAATATTTGTACACTAAATAAATACAAATGGCAAAATATACATACATACATACATACAGACGACTTACGTGAGCAACTCACTTGATCAGCACTCGCTTGCTTATGAAACTTTTTGTCTGTTTATAATGGCGAAATCGAAGCGTAACTAAGTGATTCGGCAATTTATGTATTTGTTTACTTGTTGGATTCGCGGAAATATGCAAGTGTTCACAGTAAAAAAGCTAAACGAAAGAAAGAAAAAAAAATGTTAAAACCCTTGGGGAACCAAAGAAGGCCAAAAGAAAAATTTTAACTTGGGAGGAAATACTTTATTTATAGGTACAGGTAAACTTCACTTTACCCAATCAACATTTTTGACGAATTGTCAAATTATTTCGGTCGGTTTAAAACAAGTTTTCAGCTCTGATTTATGTAAGTACCTTTGATGAGCAAATTTTTCATCACACAACTTGGTACAAATTCACTCCCTCCGGAATAGCACTGTCCCTATTAGTTGCTTTCCGATTGATCATTCACTTAGGTAACCGTTGGCAGACGTGCTTATTGCAGCCATCTGCCATGCCGCCTCCTAGGTTGTACATTTTATCGGTCTACTTAGTTAGCATTTTTGAGGTCATATATACATATGTAAATACATACATACATACGTATATATGTTACAGATATGTATTGTACATATGTTGATGGTTCGTTATGTCTATTTGCACTGGCTTTAAAGGACATCAGTTAATGACCATCGTCGTTAGTGGTGTAGCATGCAGCATGGCGCTAAATATCGTTTACACGTGTACACTTAAGTACGAGTTGATTGATGACTTTTAAACTGCTTGAAAACGCTTCTCGGAGAAAGGTACACTCAATGATACATTCATACATAGGTTAGGTTAGGTTAGGTTAAAGTGGCTGCCAGTGACCCCACTAGCACACATAGGCCCTAGGTTGTGGGCCCGTTGTGATACCACGCGGATCGTTAGAACCCTCCTACTCAAACCATCGTGTGGATTTTGCGAAACCCAGAAGTTGCCGTATGCCTACTTCGGCTATGTCGGTTAGGTCCTCAAAGAATCCTGAACCCATGAACTTTTGTCTTCTTCTACAAAGTGCGGGGCACTCGCATAACAGGTGCCGCAAGGTTTCTGGCTCTTCCTCATTTCTGCAGCTTCTGCAGAAGTCGTTATGGGGGATCCCTAACCTCTCCGCGTGCCCCCCCCGATAGCAACATGGCCTGTTAGCAGACCCACAGCTGCGGCTAGGTCTCCTTTGCTCAGCATGAGGAGATCCTTCGACCGCTTTTTGTCCCATTTAGGCCATGTGAGCTTCGTGTTGTTGCAAGTGGTGAGGCTATCCCACCTGTCCCTTGCTAGTTTAAGAGACAGATCCCTTAGAATGAGCTTGCAGGTAGCGAGCGGCATGCCTAATCCCTTCCAGGCCTGCGAAAGTGGAGCGGATGTGCCCTCTCTTGCAAGTTCGTCCGCCTTTTCGTTGCCTGGTATGTTCCGGTGCCCCGGAACCCATACCAAGTGAAGAGCAGACTGCTCAGCCATCTCGTTTAGAGATCTGCGACAGTCCGCTACGGTTTTTGAACTGCATGTGACCGAGTCGAGCGCTTTGAGTGCGGCCTGACTGTCTGAGTAGATGAAGATATCGTTATAAATGACTTCTCTTGTACGTAGGTGTTCAACCGCTTCCTGTATGACAGCGACCTCAGCTTGAAAGACGCTGCAGTGGTTGGGTAAGCGAAAACATATTTCCAGCCCCAGTCGGGCCGAGAAGACCCCCCCTCCTACCTTGCCGTCTAGCTTAGAGCCATCGGTGTAGAGGTGGAGTGATCCATTGTCATCGGGAGCCCCTCCTGACCAGAATTTTCTATCTGGAATGGAAATCCTATACCTCTTTGTGAAGTTCAACCTTGGTGCACAGTAATCCGTGTCCGGTATATTTATGTCCTTTAAGATTGCGGTGTGGCCTTCCTGAGTGTCCCCCCAGCCTGGTAGGTCCCTCAACCTCAAGGCGGCACACCCCGCTGATTGCTTTCCAACAATTTCAATTGGTAAAATATCGAGGAGCACGCACATAGCCTCCGATGGAGTTGTGCGCAGGGCCCCACAGATGCAGAGCATCGCAGTTCTTTGCACCTTTTGGAGTGCTTCAGTTGCAGATTTCCTGTTGAGACTTGGCCACCATACCAAGACCCCATATAATAGAATCGGCCTAACAACTACCGTGTATAACCAATACATGATGCTAGGGGACAGCCCCCAGCTACGCCCAATCGCCCCCTTGCAACTGTAGAGGGCTACCGTCGCTTTTTTAACACGCTCTTGTATATTTTGCGCCCAGTTAAGCTTTTTGTCCAGGACTACGCCTAGATATTTTGCAGACTCCCCTAGCTTCAGAATCTTATTGCCTATGGCAGGGAGCTGAAGTGAGGGGATTTTGTACTTCCTGGTAAAGAGCACCAGGTCCGTTTTTTCTGGGTTAACACCCAGACTTTTTCCTTGGTCCATCTCTCGATTAACCTTAGTCTGTCCTGCATAATGTCACAAAGAGTTTGTGGAAATTTTCCACTCACAACCACCGCAAGGTCGTCAGCATACGCTATGACCTTGGAGCCTCCCCCCCCTTCCAGGGTCTGCAATAATTCATTAATCGCCATGACCCAAAGAAGGGGGGAGAGGACCCCACCCTGCGGGGTTCCCCTGCAAACGTATCTGTCCAGCGACACGCCCGCCAGTTCCGCCCGCACGACCCTGCCAACTAGCAGCTGTCGTATAAGCGACACCAGCCGTGAGTCGATGTCCAGACCAGTTAGAGCTGATGTGATTGCTTCAGGTGTGATGTTGTTGAAAGCACCCTCAATGTCTAAGAATGCTATCAAGGTGTATTCCTTTATCGCAAGGGATTTCTCAATATGCGACACGATTTCGTGTAGCGCTGTTTCGGTGGACTTCCCCTTCATATAGGCATGCTGCGAAGCCATAAGCTTGTCTGCAACCGATTCCCTAAGAAAGGATTCAATCAGTCGCTCCAATATCTTGAGCTGGAAAGATGATAGACTGATAGGTCTAAAATCCTTGGCGCGAGTATGGGATGTTTTTCCCGCTTTAGGAATGAAGACAACCTTTGACCTTTGCCAGGTCTCCGGAATGTAGTTGAGAGTGAGGACTCCCTTAAAAATAACATACAGCCATTTTGAGCTTAGCTCCATAGATTGCTGTAGCTGAATCGGTGTAACACCATCTGGACCCGCAGATTTGTAAGGCTTGAAGGACCCTATTGCCCACATCAGTTTTTTTTGGTGATGAGGTCTACCGTAACCGGTTGACCTCTATTTCTTATTGGCCCGTTCAATGGCTGCTCGGTGGCGCCTGGAAAGTGCGTGCTCAGAAGATGGTCCAGGGATTCCTCCCCAGTTTCCGTCCACGCTCCGTCGGATCTTAGCAAGCATCCCGGGGCGATACGAGGTGAACTAGAGAGAACCTTCCTGAGCCTAGAACCTTCTGATACGGATTCCATACCACTGCAAAAGTTCCTCCATGAGGATCTCTTGCTCTTCCTTAGTAGTTTCTTGTAATCTTTCAAGTTTAACTTATAGATTTCCCATTGCGTATCGCCTCCCGAGGATTTTGCGAGATTGAAGGCTCTACGACAATTTTTGCGGGCCTCGTCAATCTCTGTACTCCACCAAGGTGGTTTCTTTTTGCCTCTCGGCTTTACCATGGGGCAGGCCTGATCCAGAGCCTTGCCACATGCCGCAGTAAAGCGATTTGCCAGCCTATCTAGGTCCCTAGAGTTTCCTGGAATTGCTAGTGTGGTTCTTGAGAGCCGTTTGTCAAGCTCTCTTCTGTACTTATGCCAGTCGGCTTTCCTTAGATTTCTTTTGGCAGGTACCTTGGACGGGACCCCGTCTAAGTCGAATTGGATGAAGCGATGATCAGAGAAGGAATGCTCATCAAGCACCCTCCAGTTCCTGATCATGACCTCCGCATCTTCTGAGACGAGGGTAACATCCAGGACCTCTCTTCTGCTCTTCGTTATGAAGGTAGGCTCGCTACCCCTATTACTTATAACTAAGTTAGATTTTAGTATGAATTCAAAGAGTGACTCACCCCGTTCATTGATGTCTCCACTTCCCCATGTGCTATGGTGTGCATTTGCATCACCTCCTAGAATCAGGGCCCCGTCCCAGCGCTCCACTAAATGTTCGACCGGTAGGGTTGGAACAGGCCTGTCATGTGCCAGATACATCGAGGCAAGCCTTATTTGTCGTCCGTTCGCCTCCAGACTGATGGTGGTGGTGTCCTCGTCACTGAACTGAGGAAGAAACAATATTTTTAGTTTGGTACTAACAAGGATGCAGGCCCTTGGTTTACCTATGGTAGCTCCACTTATCAAAGTGTGCTCTGCCGACTTCAGCCCGCATATTCCATGCCCTATCACCCAAGGCTCCTGGATGAGGGCGATGTCTGTTGCCCCCTTGGAGAGCTGGAGCAGCAGTGCAGCCGACGCTGCTTTGCTGTGGTGGAGATTAATCTGGAGGACGCGAACCATCTTGGCCGCACCTTCCCACCCCCTCCACCACTGTTGAGTTCGCCTCGTCGTCATCTGACATCAGCTCCTCTTCTGTGTATTGCCGGAAGATATGGTCGACTCCCAGAGAGGATGTAGATGAGGCGTATCCACCAGCCAGGTCATCCATCGGATTGGCCTGGTTGGATTCCTCGTCCACCTCATCCTCGCTGTTGTCTGCTTCCGGCTCAACTTCGTTGCCTCTTGCTGCGTTCACGTCGTTCGTGTACACCCTTATCTTTGCGGTGTCGAAACCGTAATTGATGACGCCCCCAGTCTTTTCGAGGAGTGGCAACGACTCCTTATTTAGCAAAAGGACCGCCTGACGAGTCGCCTTTGTGCTGTGCTCTAGCCGCACCACCTTCCAATTGTGAGAGGGTAACTCGGGATTAAAGAGCCTTATAATCTCAAGCACTCTCTCTGGTTCGGTCGGTTTGGCCGGTATCCATGCCCTTGCTCTGGGCCTGGATGGGATGTCCTTGAAGTCCACAGCCCGTAGCATCGCTCCGGGGTAGACCTCTCCCAGCATGGCCATCGCCTTCTTGTACATGCCCGCCGACCTTTCATCGTCGCACGCGACGATCTTGACGTTACCTTGGAACCAACCTGCGTCCCGGCATATCGGAGGTGGTCCGGGGTGCTCCCGAAGCACGCTGACGCAGATGTTCGCCAATTCCGCTTTAACCCATTTCCAATGAGCTCTCAGTGCCAATTCGTCTTCCTGGTTCTCATCGAGCACACCCAGGAGGATCCGATTTTTGGCTACCTCAGCAAAGGTGGGGCCTTGCGTCCTGGCTCTTTTCGACTTATTTTGCGCAACCTCCATCGATCTATTGCGCTTTTCCGCAGCTGGTGGCTCTCCGAGCACCGGCAGCTGATAGTCGGGCACTATCGTCATTGCCCACGCTATCTCCGACCGGATCTCTTCCACGTGACAGGGCAGCGCCCTGCTACATAGGTCCGGGGTTAATGCGGATCTCTTCAAGATCCTCATGGCAGCCTTCCTGTGCTTGGCAATGGCTGCGCTTGGTGGTGGCCTGTCATCAGGCCTTGTAAATGCCGTAGGAGTAGGGGGGAGGCGGGGCCCGCGCATCAGCTCTGGCGCCCCCTGGGGCTGCAAGCTGCAAGCCAGGTTTGCCTTCACTGGTGCCGGGAAAATCCCGTTTCGGTTCCCCCACCCTCTTCCTTTCCGCTTTTGTGGATACGCCTGACCCCGGCATCGCCAGAGGCTTACGTACCCCACTAGTGCTGGCCACGTCGTGGCTAGTAGAGGGACCCTGCATCGCATGGGCCCCATGGTGTCTGGGCAACTGCCCTTCCGACTTTTTATGAGTGCCGGTCTCAATTTCCGTTGTTGTTGATTTTGGTTTGTTCTTTAATTCGCTCATATTCCCACGAGTTGCGGAGAAAGGGTTCGTCGGCCCCGGGCAGAGATCCGCAGTACCCAGGGTAAGGCCATCGAATGCAACCGGGTGCGGCCTGGTTCCCAGAGGGCTCCGTTAGCGACTGGGCTATTTAGGGGCTCCCAGCCAGGCTGATCCTCAGTACGGTACGCGTAACGCCTTGATCCAGCCCCTACCTCCAGACCACGATCAAAGACCATTTCCGTATGGCATAGCGATGAAAACGCATAAGCACACAGCACTGATCCCTGATCTTAGCTGGACACCCTCCCGACATCGCACGGGATTGCTCTGTAGTGCCCATTTCCAGCCGGCACCCTCGCGGAGGGTTCAGTCCGAGGATTTTCGCCGACCACATTCATACATATATTTGTATGTAATTTTGCTCTGTATATATGCTATTTGAGACCGTACCACCATATAAGCAAACAAATAACGAGTTCGCCGTACAAGCCTAAAGTAATTTGCAAGGCAATATCGAAACACATAAAACATAATTTATTTACAATAGTTCTATTGGAATAATTGAGATGTTTTCTTAGCACACTGTAATAATTTTTGTTGAGCTTTAATTTACTGACATTATGATGGTACGTTAGGGTAGTAGGAACTGGAATATGTTGGTTAAGTACTAGAGCGGGGAACTTGAGGTCAACGAACTTTGGAACAAACACAATTGCCTCCTCCAGGCAAAAACAGCGATTATATCATACTTAAATATCCGCCTTTAAATGCCGAAGATATGTATGACGAAAAGTTAAAAAAAAGGCGACTCCTACGCACCGCAAATTTTTTCTTATCGAAATTGCCTAGCAAAAATTCTTAAGTCGCATACCCCATACGGCGAACTTCTATGTATGTAAATATTTGCATGTGATTATATTAGCAGTTATAAATAAACAACTTAATAAGTTTTGAAATTTGTGGTTGCATCAATATTTATGTATGTATGTGCATAAACTCGTGATTTTTTACACATATGTGTATGTATGTATGTACATAAGTATGTTTATGCATGTGTACAAGAATAAAACCGTTTGTAAGCATACATCTAAAACCGCACATGATATCACAGCGTGCAAGCGAATTCATTTCATGCCACGATATGTGATATGCGACAAAACGTGAGTAAAAGTTTTGATATAATTTCTCGTTTAGATAAACGTTTCAAGGGATTTATCAGTTGCCGGTTAAGAAAGCAGATGTTTAGATGTAAATACTTGAGTAGAGGGGTCGGCGTATCTGAATAGCTGAAGGTGTGTACTATCAGTGGTTACCACCCAGATTAGAGTGCTCGTCCAAGCAATATTCAAAAATTATGTAAAAAGTGTTTGTTGAGCGTCGTCACCTCTCGACACGCAATGGCAAACATCTGAATATAATTCAGTTTTGAAAAAGCTTCTTATAAAAAGCCTATCTGGCGTTCGGCGGCGGCGTAAAAAATTCTTTCCATTTCGTAGACTAACTCTAAAATGAAAATAAGGGGCTAAAATTTTGCCACAACTAATATTTTGCGACCGGCAAGGAAATTTTCATATGAACCGAAAGAAAAAAGTAGTCATTTTATCTAGCAGAGTCTAGTTGTATGTACATTAGGGTGGTCCGAAAAAAATAACGTCGGAATTTTAATGCTCTTGGACTCTTCTATACTGAAAAAATATAAACCTCGTTTTTTTTTTACTTTGAGATCAAAAAAATATTTAGAGCTCGCTTAAAGCGCTCGAAGTTTTCTATGTATTTTATATGAAAAAAAAAACAACAAATTTTTCGTGGAAATGGTATAGCAATCTTGAAAATTAATATTTTTCGATCGAAAAACTCTGCTTCTTTTAAGAAGACCTCCCATAATAATATCTAATTGTTTATTTGACCATTTTTTAATACAAACAATTTTTTATTGATGCTCCAAAAACCCCAAGAAATGCAAAGGGGGCCCCATAAAATTCTTGGTATTAAAAAGTGGCAAAACAAAAAATTGGTTACTATTCTTTCAAGTCTTCTGAAGAGAAACAGGTTTTCCGATCGAAAAATAATGATTTTGGAGAATCCGTTTGCATTTCCGAAAAAACTTGTTTTCCTCTAAATGTTTTCTGAATTCAAAATAAAAAACTGGGATATGTTTTTTCGGTATAGAGCAATCATAGGGAGTGAGAGTATTGAAATTCCGACTTAACTTTTTCGCATGCATTTTTGGACCACCCTAATTTACATGCATATTTCACTCATACTTAAAGCTTGAACAATCTATAGTTCATAAAATTGCTTTGTCATGCTTATACATACATTTTTATTTAGATAGTAATAATTCAATTACGCGGTCAATGCTATCTATTAACTCATCACAATTTACATGTGTAAATATGTATGCATGTAGTACGAATGCGTATGAGTTTCCACTGCTTACGCCGAATTTCCACTAGGCATTCAAATGACAAAAAATGTATGCCATTAAAAAATGTCATGTGGAAACAGACTTAATGGCAATTTTTATTAGCGCAATGGCACGAGTATTTTTAAATGCCCAACATTGTCATTAAAACTTTTGCCATTTGACGACAAGTGCAGATTCAGCATACATAATATTTTACACCAAGTCTGCAACATCAACTGATTATTTCTACCCAAAATGGGTAAGCCGAAACAACTGCCTTTATCTTACCGATCAATTAGCCTTAGTTCCTTTCTCCTAAAAGACATGGAGAAAATACTGGATCAGTATATCAGTGAAGTCAGCCGAAGGGAACGGCCTCCGAACAAGAACCAGTTCTCCTATCAACCAGGCAAATTCACGGAGACTGCCATTTATAGCCTCTCTTCAAAAATTGAGAAAACTCTGGAGTCTAAAAATATAGCCCTTTGCACCTCCATTGATATTTCAGGGGATTTTGGTAGCACATCATGTAAGGCAATAAAAGACGCCTTGTAAGGCAAGGGTGTAAGCTAAATCACAAATCAATGGGTGCTAGAAATGTAAAGAACACGAAACATCAGTACACAAGAGGATACCCACAAAGGGATGTACTCTCTCCCCCTTTGTGGACTATGGTTATAGATGAACTCCTTTTCACACTGAACAGCCAAGGCTTTGAAACGCAAAGGCTACGCAGATGATCTGGTAATCTGCACAGTATTACCCATAACAAAACTATCACCACTAAATTGCACATAACGGTTTGAACCTCAGCGCCTTACTTGGATTACCGAGCGTTCCTATTTTAACAGAAAACGAGCCGACCACAGCAGCACTGAGAGAGAAGCCTAAACGCTTCCGACCTGAAAATCGGAAATATGACGGGTCACATGAAGGTCCTAATGAAATTCGTTAACGACCCCATATTGGAAATGCCCCACCTAAGACTAGAAAATTCGAGGTAAACATTGCAGATCGAGCTCTCTGTAATGCAGTTAACCCATACATCACACCTAATGTGTAGACTTGGTAAACAGATAGATCTAAACTTGAAAATGGTACAACTGGGGCTGAAATACCCGGACCACCATTCAAGCGGAGATTCATGCAATAGAAATTTGAGGCAGACAACGTCTTAGAAGGGCCACGTCATTGAAATATAACTGCATTATGTCGGACAGTCGGGCAGCCTTACTGGCCCTGAAGTCGCACGAGATAAATTCTCAACTAGTATTTATGTATTTCTGTTGGAGCCAGGAATACAATCTTGTTAGAATGGGCACCGAGCGATATGATGGCCATGAGGAGGTTGACAGCCTAGCGCAACAGGGAGCTACCGCAGTATTTTACGCTCCGGGCACGATAAACAACTGAGTGGACAAAATGTTCAACAGGCACTGGATGAGAGACGCAGGGCAGAGACGAGCCAAACGATTTATCTGTCCTTCAAAAGAAGCTGCAAAGAAACTATTCAATTTAAACAGAGAGGACCTCAAAAATCTCGTTGGCTACTAGACGAGACATTGCTCCCTTCGCTATCACCTCAGTAAAATTAGTCCCTCAAAACAAACGTCTGTCCCAGCCTCTTCCTACGACCTAAAAATGAATGGAAAGCGCTATGAATTCAGATGGGTACGCCAACTATCCCATTGAATTCTTGAATTCGTTAGATTTTCCGGATATGGCAGTACACATATGCCACTCAAAATTTGTGCGCCAACAATTCTTCTCAGAAATACAAAAAAAAAACAAAAACGTATGCCCAATATGGTTGCAGCGACCATTTGCAATACTAAATCAAAATGAGAAGATGTTCAGATTCTAAGAATCTCTATCTGTTTCTTCAGCTTCTCGACCGCCTTGCTTGCTTAAAGACAGTAAATGGTGCACAAGAGCAATCATTACATGTTTGTGGATGAAATCTTGAATCCATGTTTTTCACATGGCCAATTGTAAGTGGCACGCTGTCCAGTGGCACACCCGAAAAAGTTATTTATTTCTTTTTAAACAAGATGAAAAACCACAAGTAATTTTTATGCAAAACCGACTTTAATTCCCATATACAAGTTCAGTAAACGCAGACAAGCAATAAATTGTCAATACAAGAACTCAGAGAGACATAAAAATGAGTTCAAAGTATAATACAGTTTTTCTAGCCCCTTTTCAGATTGGGGAACTGTTAGCAAAAAAAAATTCCAGACTTTGATAATTCTGCGGTGCATAAATCAGCGCTAAAAAGGTCGAATACTGTAGTGCA